CCCCAAAACCCCAAAACCCCAAAACCCCAAAACCCCAAAACCCCTTGCTCATAAAATTAAATTGAAATAATTATTTTAAGAATTTATGAGCGATAACGAAGCCCAAGAAGATTTTTATGAGAACGACCATGAGGTGCCAGAGGTCGAACAGAATATTGCAAGGATGCCTTCAGGCACCTCTGATTCAGTTACTGGTAAAGCCAAGCTGAAAGATGAGGATTTCGAGCATGTAGAAGACCAAGTTAATAATACAAACCAACAACTAGACCAATTGAATAAGATGGAAGACGGTCAAGGTGTTGAAGACGCTATTTTGAGAGAGGAAATGCCATCTGAAGGAGAAGGCCAGGATGCAGACCCTCGTATAGAGACAGAAAATGAAGAAGAACCAATGCAGGAAGGTGAGCAAGAGCACCCTGATGGATTTATTCATGAAGAAAATCAAGAAATTCTTTACGAAGGGGAAGAAAATACTCCAGAAGATGAAACTTATCCTGACCAACTTCCTCCTCTAGAGGGAGAGGATCCTCAAATTGAGCAATCTCCTCATGAAGCTGATCCATCTCAATCTGAGAAAGAGCATATTGACCCTAAAGAGTACATTGCTGATCCAGATCAGCAGCAAGTACAGGAACCCGAACAGGTAGAGCCTGAGGAAGAATTTGAGATAGTTGAAGTAGACCCAGAAGTAATATTCCAACAAAGAAAGGAATATGCTGAAAAGATGGATGAGGAGATCAAAACAAACCTCTCAGAGATCGACAGACTCAGAGAAGAAGTCAAGCATTTAGAGGATGATGAGCTTGCTGAAATTTCTCTTAAACCTGAAAAGCATGATAAACTTCCCTCCAAGATCAAACTAGAATATGCCAAAGCAAAATGCAAGACAAAGGAGGTTGAGTCTAAAATAAAGGATGCAATTTCGATTTATCAAGAGAGGTAAGCTACTCTACAAATCCCATAGGCATAAGGAGCTGATGTCCCAAACCAAAAACTTCGATAAAATGTCAGACTTGAACATTGATTCTACTATTAAAGAACTTCGAGTGGCTATGATCTACAAGATGACAAAAACTCTCGAGAAGGATCTCAAAAAGAGCAAGACCAGACAAAGTGAGCTGAAGATTATCACTGAAGAGATCCAAAACAAGTTAGCTAGAATTCAGCGGAAAAAGGCTAAGCGGATACTAAAAGAGAAGAAGAAAGCTATGGAAGAAGCTATACGGAAACAGAAGGAAATGCAACAGGCACAGAAAGAAATGGCTGAGCCCCAAGCCAAGGAGAGGCAACCTTCACCACCTCAAGAAGAACCGGACGTACTTAAAGTTGATCATGATAGTGATGAGGATAAGGAAAAGGCCCAGAAAAAGCTTAATGAGCAAGCAGATCGAATCTTCTTGCTCGAGTCTAATGATAAGAATACAGATCTTGGCGAGAAGCTTAAAGAAACTCAGCCAAAGCCAGAAGAGCAAGTTGATAAAGAAGAAATTAAGGAGACCAATGAAAAAGAAGACGCTGAGCTAGACAGAGAACAAGAAAAGCAATCTGAATCTAATAATGAAGCTAAAGATGAAGAAAAGCCTTCTGAAGAGAAGAAGGAAATTTCAGAGCCTGTTGAGAAAGAAGAGTCCAAAGAAGATACTAAAGTAACAGCCCAAGAAACCCCTCAAGATCCTAAAGAGGAGCCTAATAAAGTTCCTGCCAAAGAGGAGGAAGCAGCAGAGCCTAAAGATTCCCCTGAGCCAAGTGAAAAAGCAGATGAGAAATCTCATAAAGACGAAAAGGAAGAATTACCTGCTAAAAATTCTGAAAAGGACGAAGAAAAACCTGCTGCAGAGTCTAAGGATGATAGTGCCCAAGACACTGAAAATGAAGGAGGCGAGGAAGAATTTGAAGGAGGAGAAGGGGATGAAGAACCCCAAGATGATAGTAAGCAACATCCGGATCTTCAGAAAGATCAACCACAAGAAGAAACTAAAGCTGAGGATAAACAAGACCAGAATAAGCTAGAGAAGGAGCTTTCTGATAAGGAAGAGGGAGCAGATAATGAGGAGCCTAAAGAGGAGCCTAAAGAGGAGCCTAAAGAAGAGCCTAAAGAGGAGCCTAAAGAAAAGCCTAAAGAAGAGCCTAAAGAAGAGCCTAAAGAAGAGCCTAAAGAAGAATCCAAAGAAGATAATAAGCCTGATTCTAAACCTGAAACAGAAGTAAAGAATGCCTCTTCTAAAAATGCTACTTCTGAGAAAGAAGATGCTGACTCAAAGTCAGATGAAAATTCTAAGGCTGATGATACTCCAAAGGAGGAAGCCTCCTCCCCTCAGAAAGAGACTATCGACGATGCTGCATCAGAGACCTCGATCATAAGTGTCAAGAAGGGAGGATCCCCAGGGTCGATCTCCTCGGAAGATTCAATTGATGAGACATTAGAAAGCTCTTTGTTGATGGAGTTGGAGTCGTTCAGCTTAGAAATGAATGAGAACCACAAGAGGATTAAAGAGAATGGACATCTCCTCGGCGACCTCAAACTGATCATTGATGGTGAGGCTGAGATCGAAGACTATGACTTTCAAACCAAGATTGATAAAATGATGGGTAAACTTAATAAGTTACAGGATGATGACCAGGAAGAAAGTGATGATGATAAGGCAAGTGATAAAGATAGTGATGAAGAAGGTAGCCAAAAGAGCTCTAGTAGTAAAGGCAAAAGTGATAAAAGTGATAGTGAGGAGGAGAAGAAGAGTGAGAAGGAAGAATCTGACAAAAAGAGTGAGACTTCAGAGAGTGAATCTGAGGAAGAACCTCCTCCAAAGCCAAAGAAGAAAGGAAAAGGCAAGAATCAAAAGCCACAAAAACCTCAAAAATCGCAAAAGCAACAAAAACCTCAAAAACCAGAAAAGCCTGAAAAGGACAAAAAGTCTCAAAAAGCTCTTAAAAATCAAAAGAAAGGCAAGAAATCTGCAAGAGCAAAAGAACCTTCTCCAGAACCTCCAAAACCAGAAACCCCACCTAAGCCACCTTCACCCTCTCCTAAAACTCTTGAACTTCGAGCAAATCTTGAGACCCTCAACTCAACTCAAGAATCTCTCCAAGAAGAGCTCCAAAAACTAGAAGAAGCTTCCGCTCCCGCTATAGCCTTTTCTAAGGACATATCCCAGCTAGATTCAGCTTATAAAGAATATATCAATGATTTGCAGACCAAAAATAGCGTCATTTCAAATAAAATCCATGAAATTATTAAAGAAGGTAAGATCTCCTGCTCCAAATTCACCCTAAAATCCCTACCTAGGCACTCAGAAGCAGCTTTATGAGGAACTTACAAAGCTAAAGAAGGCTAAAATCCTCAGAATCGAGAAAGCTCAGAATAAAAGAGAAGCAAACCTGCTTAAATCTATTCAGACTAAGAAGAAGCTTGATACCAAAATGGAAGAATTTGATACACATCAAGAAATGCTTAATGATAAGATCATTACTCATCAGAATACTATAAAATAAGATACAGAAAAGACTCAGTGGGAAGAAAGCCAAAGGAGCTGACTTTGACGTCCAGGATGTCACTTCTAGCCAGGCTTCGCCTGGCCAGATGCATCCTAGTTCGAGGCAGAAGAAGGGGTCTTTCCGAAATGACTCAATGTATTCTGGGTCATATAAAGGGAATAGAAATTACAAACTTGAAGAGAAGAAACACATTTTGACGCTTGAACATAGAGTTCAGGAATTGGAAAAGCAGCTATTCGAGATCCAACAGAAGAAGGAGAAGAAAAACTCTGAAGATGAATTGGACTTAGAAGATGAGGAAACACCTGAGGTGAGGCCGAACCAGATGCCTGATATTAGAATTAACAAAAAGAAAAAGGGAGCTAAGAGCTCACTTATGGTCAAGGAGATCCTTAAAACTATCAAGGAGAAAGACGAAGAAATCATCGCTATTAAGGACCAAATCAAGAAGAACCAGATGAAGATCAAGATTAAAGACAAAGAGATTTTCAAGATGAAATCTCGACTTAAGAAGTGGAATATGACTCATGCCACTCAGTAATTAATACAATTTGGCTGTTTCAACTTAAGCTTTGCTAAGAGGGGTTTTGGGGTTTTGGGGTTTTGGGGTTTTGGGGTTTTGGGG